GCGTCTTTATATGCACGCATGTAGTTGTGCGTTTGTGTGCGCACATATATGTGTGCACATCTACGTGTGTGTGCATGTATTGACCTGTGCGTCTTTATGTGCATGCGTGTAGTTGTGTGTTTGTGCGTCTGCATGTATGTATTTACCCACGGGTCGCTATGTATGTGTGTGCACTTGTGTGTGCACATGCATTTCTGTGTGCGCACATGTAGTTGTGCATTTGTGTGTGTGCGTGTATTTACCTGTGGGTCTCTATGTGCATGCATGTATTCGTGTGTGCACATGTATTTCTGTACATATGTGTGTGCACATATTTGTGCGCACGCATATTTGCGTGCGTGTACATGTATTTGTGTGTATGTATGTGCTTGTATTCATGTGTGTGTATTCATGTGTGCATCTATATGTGTGTACTTGCATGTGTGCATGTGGGAGTATGAATGTACACATGTATTTGTGTGCATGTCTGCTTATGTGTGCGTGTATCTGCGCATGCGTGCATGGGTGTGACTGCATGTTTTTGTGCAGGTAGCTGTGCATGCGTGTACATGTATTTGTGTATGCATGCGTGTGTGCACGTGTATTTGGCCATGTGTGTGCAAGTGTACATGTATTTGTGTGTGTGTGCACACATGTGTGCACAGGCAGTGTCTGGCACATCCAGGCTTGAATGTGGGGTCGGGGGTTCAGGACTCCTGTGATGTTACAAGCAATGAACTAGGAGCAACTTGGGAGGCATCAAAGAGGTGCCAGTTACACGTGGGCCCTTTGGTGTAACACTGCTGTCACACAGCTCTCGTAACAGCTCCGGGCCTCTGTACTTAAGCTCCTTGGGGTGTTGTGACAAGGTTTCTTTGGGTAATCGTGATTTTTTTAATTAGACCAACTACATAGTTGGAAAAATTTGTTCTTTGTGAGCTTTTGGGTGTTGTGTTTGTTTCTACCAGTGATTCTCAACCAGGGGTTGCAGCAGCCAGCAGTGCCTTGAGAGGCTTTCGAGTGTTCGCACTGTTGGGCGGCCGAACGTGGTTCCCATGATAAACCCAGAGATTTCCAAGAGGACCCCACATTGCCAAATCGTTCTGAGCTCTTGCGGCCTTTCTGGGGTCTTGGCAACCAAAAGAAAAAAAACCTGGTTTTATTTTTCCGTAGTCAAAAAAACGAGTGAAAAGTAAGAGCTGGCATTTTGCAAAGTGGGCCTCGCATCTAAGGAGGGGCGTCTCGAATCTGAAATGGTTGAGAACCACTGGTTTATGCAGACCCAAAGGCAGGCAAACGAGGATGTCGATGTTTGCCACTGCATTGTTTTGGTCTGGCAGTATTTTGCCAGAATGATTTATCAGTTACATAACAATAATAATAAACTCCCCCCCAACAATGTCCTGAGTTTAAAGCAGAAACCACTGGAGATGCTTGTTCAATTGTCTTGGACTGCAAGGTGGCTATCCCACCTGTAACAGAGCGTATTTCTGAAGCTAATAGACTTGCTGTGACCAATTAGGGAGAAGTCATTCTGTTTAACTCTCTCAAATAAATACCCAAGGAAACAAATGCCTGGTGCACAACAGATCTGACTGTACTCCAAGCCCACACGCTTCTGAGTTCTTCCAGTAATAAATAACGCAGAGCATGCTGCAGGCTTTGGCGCTGCTAGATTTGAAAAGACGCTGGCTTTTATTTAAGTGTGAACTTCCTCCCACCCTCCCGCTCTCACCCTCTTTGATCACAGAGGCAGTAGAATAATGAATATCGTTGAATGAATAATCATTTCCATGGCAGCGGCTTGCAGTATGGTGAGCAGAAGGTGTATAAACTCTGAGCACAGACTGAAAAACCTAGTTGTGAAGACCTGGGACTTAACATCATTTGTGGCATTGTGTGTCTATTGCTGTTGCCGTGTTGTAAGAGCACCCGAGATGGTTAGTGATTACACTGCAGTATTGTACTGCAGTCGCTCGCAGCCTGGTTAGCAGAGAGCTGCCTGGGACACGGATGTATGCCCCAGGAGAGAAACACAGCAGGTTTAGGAGCGAGGCTGCGTTCAAACGCTGGCCCAGTGCTGAATTTGCCCTTTGGGCACATTATTCGGATGCTTCGTTTGTGCACAGATCATTTGTTAGTGCTCACATTTAGCTAGATGGAATGGATTTGCACCTCCCCGCCCTCTTACCATTTCACACCAGCCTGCCCCAGAGACCTTTCCAGGGGGCTTGGAAATATCACTGCGTTCCAGCAAATGCCACCGTCCTTTTTATTTATTGATGTGGGGATAAAGGCAGTAATTAGGGAGAGAAATTGAGGCTCTGCACAGTTTTTCATTACTTTTATCCTCTCCCCCACGTGATCGCAGCTTCTCCTTGAGCGTTCTGTGTAGCAGAGGCAGGGCTGGGTTTTAAATAGATTTGAATCCTGTTAGCATCACTTTTTTAAGCTGCAGATCTTTGTCTTAAAATGCCACAGCGGCACAGAGGAGGCTGGGAACGACGCTGTGCCTATGGGAGCTCCTATGGGTCCGGGCTTATGGCAGGGCCCCTTGGCGCTGGTGCATGCACGCACCCTTTGCGAGAGGCGCTGTGCTGCAAGGAGCTTGTCTTTGAACAAGACAGAAGGGACAAAGGAATATTGCTGGTAGTGGTTCCCCACTGAGGCACAAAGGAGCGGACTTGCCCAAGGCTATATTCTTGTGTCTCTGAGCAAAACGGGGATTGAATCTGTGAGTCTCAGTCGGTGCTTGAACCACAGGCTTCCTCTTGGCCTTACAAGGGCCCCTGAGCACAGTCTGCCTGAGGCCCTCTACCCCTTCCTTCAAGAACATCTGGGAGCAAAAAAGCCCCTTGCCAGAGTCTGCTCCAGGCTGCGATGGTGTAAATCCAGAGCAACGTCTTGGAAGTCGGTGGGGTCATAACACCACTGGGAGAGAAAGATCTTCTCCCTCCCTTCTTTTGTCTCCTGTATTGCCATCAGCCTGCTGTTGCCCAGACAGGTGGTGTGTTGCTGAAGGGTTCCTCTGTGTTTCAAAACTTTGCTGCCTTAATGAGCTTGTTTGTGGAAGGTTTGATAATAGAGAATTATTTATTTTAGGAAAGTCTGCTGTAGGGAATATGTCCCTGAACAATTGACTGTAAGGCAGCCTTTCTCCGACAGAGGAGCAAAGCGTGTGTGTAATATAATCCTGTGCCTGCCTACCCCTCACCTCCGTTACTTATAAATATGCACAGATGCTTTGCAGGGTTACGGAACAGTTTCTGCTGCATTAGTGCTGATGATTTCTCTCACTGGGCACTGATATGTGAGTAAGGGCGTGCCTGGGCAGGATTTGAGATGCGAGGTAGGAGAGAAGACAGGAAGCAGAAATAAAACAGTGCATCCATACAGATAATTAACACACAGCGCTTTTCTGGATTATGAGACAGCATGGCTGATTCTTCCTGCCGTAGTCCCAGCAGCCTCCCAGCCCCCATTGGTGGTCTTCTTATTCTCAGCTCCCAAATTTAGCCTCTAAAAAAAAAACAAAAAAACCCAAACTCTGGCTGGCTAGAGTCCCACCCTTCCAGCTGCAACCAATTGGGAGGCTGAAAGCATTGTGGCAACAAAAAAAAAAAAGCCTAGCGAGAATTTTAGGTCCCCAGATGAATAATGCCCCTGGTCTCTTGAGCTGAGCAATTATCTCTTGAGATGTGTGTGCAGCTCGACTGCTGATTGTCTGCCTGGCCCCGTTGTAGACTGAGTGGGGCCAGATTTTTGAAGGTATTCACCTGGTCTCCATTTCCCCTCTGCAAACAATTAATGGAGCCTCAGAAGAGCCTGGTGAGAAACACAGGTGGGCAAATTGCACCTGCCTGTCTCAAACTGGCACTGCCCAGAAAATGAGGTGCCCCATCTGAACCCATGGGCTCTGGTGTCTTGCCCATGGTCATGCAGCACCCCGGAGGCCACACAATATTCCTTGTTCTGGGCCCTAAATCCATGCTGCTGAGCTGTTTCTCACCTTGATCAGTTCTCTTCCTCCTCCCCCACCTGAATCTTGGAAGCAGCAAACCTAAAAGAGAGAGAGTCTCGTGAAATGAGGTGTTTTTTTCATGGTGCTCAGATGTCCCTGTTTATAGAACCTGGTACTTTGCAGGGTTTGGTTGCTTGCCCCTGTGTAGGTGAGTGCCTGCGGACTAGCCCGGGTGCACACAGCTGCAGCAGACAGCCGAGCAGTTCATTCTTGGGTTGACTGCTTCCTGGGGCATGTCTACACGTTCATGAATGCGCTTTAGGTAATGTGCATTAAATCTTGTACTGTATCTCCACTGTGAAGTACTAGAAAAATGTGCACTATTTTAATGTGCATTAGTGAAAGAGCACTTTTTAATGCGCATTAAAGCTCATGTAGATGTGCCCCTGTGAACTAAACCATGCATTCCCTGGATATGAACGGTCTGGGTTCTGCTCTGCTGTGTGAGCATCATGCCTAGTACTGTTATAGGAGGTGACTTGATGATTTCTCCCCATCTCGGTGTACCCCTTGTGCATTTGATAAATAGGTCTAGGTGTTGGCTGCATAAGAAGGGACCTCTCTGACCAGCTGGTGTCACAAGGTGTCCGTCTCGGGTGCCGTTCACTTGGTTATCACCAAGATGGCCTAAATTTTAAAACAAAAGGCATACCCTAGCTTATCAAGGGAAGAAGCTGGTGCCTAGGTTTCTGAATGGCTCCAGTGGAGGAAGTGTCCCTTTTGCTGTTTTAAAAATGGTGAAATTAATATATTGCACTGGATTACTTGATCTCTTTGGAGATAGGCAGCTTGCATAGGAAAGGTTGCCAAATGGGATGTGTATTTATCTGGATGCAACACAGAAAATAAAGGAGTGTTTTTGCACCCACCCAGGTGCAGCCTGACTATGAGCAGACCCTTGTCTAATACTTCAAGAAGGAGCATTTCCCTCCTCTGAGATAAGGAAAATAATGATTTACAAAGAGCGGTCGGCAATGAAAACACATTTTGTTTCTTGCAGGTTCCTGCCACCCTCGCTTGGAAACTCAACGTGCAATTCCCCCAGGGGGGAGAGAGCAAATAAATGCCGTTGACTTATCTACAACATTCACTGGAAGTTGCTTTTCTGTTAATTAATACCTGATGGGGAAACATGCCCAGAGAAACGCAGTCTCAGGAACCCAGGAAAGGGAATGTGTCTTGTAAAAAGACGCTGCAGCGCTGGAAGCAATAACTACCATTAAGCAAGAGACTTTACATAAAGGCAGCAAACTACCAGTAACAATAGGAAGCCCAGTTACGGACAGGGCACTTTATCTGTGGACCGGTGCTGCTTCCCACTGAAAGGCAGGCAGGAGACAGTGGAGTGATCCTGCATAGGCCACGCGGGTGCGATCCACGGACCCCGGTGGCTTCTTGCATCTCCAAATTTTATGCATCTAACGTAAATGACTTTGGTGAGGGGAAGGGAGGCGTGGTAGAGACCGATCTCAGTGTGGAAGGGAGATTCAAAGTTGGGAAGAAGCGGCCTTTCCTCTTTAGCCCCCAGGGGACAAAAATCAACACGCCGTGCAAAAAAACAGAAGTAGCAGCAGAGGAGCTGTTTTGAATGAAAAGGTTATTGGTCTCATTTAACGGGATTGATCTAAAAAGCCAGTGAAGAGACAAAAAAAAAGGGAGGTATTGGCTTGCTGGTGCCTGACTGGCAGATTCCAGTTAACACCTTATCAGCAGGGCCGCAGACAAATCCGCGCCTGCTGAAGCTGCACAGGGAAAGAAAGGAGGGGAGGGTGTTTCTGTAACCAGGGACGACAGCAGCAACAGTCCACGGAGATGCAGGGAGGATAGAGAGGGAGGGAGAGAGACAGGCGCAGACAGCTCCTGCACAATAACCTTCCTTTCCAGCCGGCGCACGGGAGAGGGAAGGGCGGAAAAATAAATCAACCTGCAGTGGTTTTTTGTTTTTTTTTATGGTCGTTCCCATTGAGAGAGGCCGCGATTTAAACGAAGGCACAGCGCTGATCTGGCCGAGCCAGGCAGCCGTCTCCCTGAGCGGGATGTAGCAGCTCTTTTCTTTGCTTGTTGTTCACTTGAAGAGTGGGCGCCGATCCTCCAGGACTGAGATCCCATCTTCCAGCAAGGCACTGAAACAGAAGCAGATCTCCCCCGCTCATCCTGACCTTGCTGCTGCTGCTGCTGAAAGGAAAAGAAAAGGGGGGGAAAGAGCCTTGTTCTTTGCCGAGGAGGGAGGAAGGAAGCAGAGAAAGCTGGAAGAAGCATCCGAGGGTATCGGTGGCGGTGTGGCTATATATTTCTTTATTTGTAAAGTCAAAGCGAGTGCCCTGATGACTCCTCAGTGAAACGGGGGGAGTTTGCAGGGCGATACAGCAATTTATGCACTGATTAGTCTGGAGAGAAATCGGCTGGG